TTCTGGGCACAGCTTCGGCACACACGAGCCGAGCCTCCGTAAATCTCCACAAACACGGCGGCCGCCCGCACGCGCCTCCACGGCGGGGACGGGAGGGTTGCATATGGCGCTCGGCTGTAACAGCTGAGCTTTAAAAAAAGTGCAGCTTTTCATCTCACTGAACCAGCTCCCAGATTAGGAGGCAGGGAGGGGAGCGGGGGGGCAGAAGGGCAGGGAAGCCGGGGTGGGTGGGCAGGGGGAGCCTTCGACATCAAATTTGATTTTACAAGGAACTGCAGACGATTATCCGCTCATGAGGTCCCTCGGGAAAATGAAATAACCTTCCCTATTAGCCATCCCCAAGTTGACCGATTTCAAGTTACCAACACCGCCCAAAATAATGACTGGTTTTCTTTCCTTCTTTATTTATTTTTTTGCATAAAAAGGAAAGAGTCTATCCATCAGGGAATCACTGACATGCTTTAGACTGGGTTAAAATTTTTTTAAGTGAATTTATAAATGGAATTATTCTTTTGCAGAGTTCTGCTCAGCAAAGAGATTAGTTGCCACAATGCCCCGGGGGTGGGGGGGGTGTCCCCCAAATCCTTTTAATTCCCTGCCTGGAGGTGGAAGGTGGCTGGAAAGGAACAGGAAGAAGGAGCCTGAGGCGGCAGTTTTTCTGGAATGGCCTGGAAACTTTTACTTTCTGTTTCCTCTGCTGATAATGCCCTTCTTGGGCTCTGCAGCCAGCTCCCCTCTCCCCTCCCAGCCCCCTGTTGCCGCAGCCTCCCCGAGCTCCAGTATAAAGTTTGGCTTTTGCAGCAGGAAGCAGCTGGGCCAAGCAACCAGCGAATGATAATGACCTCAGAAATCTGCTGCTCACTCGGCAACAATAGGGTGCTCAGTCTACTGGAAAATTGTGTTCATCAGCTAACTCTGCTCAGTTACTAATTGACATTGCCAAATATTTTAAGAACAATTGGAATGCACAAGCAAAAAAAAAAAAAATGAAGATCTTAATCCTCAGACTTAAATTTTTTCTTTTTCTTTTTTTTTTTATTTCCCCTCTTCTTTTGGGGGCCGGGATTTGTCTGTGCAGAGCAGGCAGGGGTTATCACGAATGAGGGCGGGGGGGGGAGCACATGAGCAAAAGGGGTGGAAAAGAAAGAAAATCTATCATATCACTATACACCCGATGTAAATGCAAGGCCGTCCTGGATAAAGACCTTTGATGCTGTGGTCAATGGGCCCAGGGAGGATGGAGTCCAGCATCTCAGGAATGCGGTCCAGGCAACAAAAGAAGACCCCAAAAGGCTCGCAGCCCAGCTGATCAAACACTCCTTGTCAATCCCAAAATATTATACCAGAAGTAGCAGGGTTAACCATATTTCCATCTGCCCATCTCTCCCAGCCTTTCCACTGATCATGGAACTCAGCCGACTTTATTTAACGCACAGAGGGTCAGCGCCTTCAATCGCCCCCTTCCCACCAACAGCACTTCAAGGATCCCCACTCCAAAACGATGGGGAATTCGGAAGGTAACCGCCCTGTTGGATATAACAAACAGTATCGTTTCTTAGTACATTAAGTTTTAATTATGCCGCGCGCGATTTCCAAAGCAAAATCCGAAGAAACAGAACTTTGGTCGTTTCCTGACTCAGAGTGAAGCTGGGATCCGAGCACAGTCTCGGAGAGGAGGTTTCGGAGGAAGATGCAAAGATTGATACCACCGGAGCGTCTGCACGCAAGCCAGGAAAGAGGAAGCCTCCGAACGGCCGCCCTGCTTTCTAAATGTCACGGGAGAGTAAAATTTATAAGCGGCTGCTTCCAAACAGTTTCCCTTCGCGTTGCACACGGGGGGCAGAGATGACAGCCGCCGCGGCGTGAGATTGTGGGGAGGTCAAATAAACAACAACACAACAAAAATAAAACAAAGGGGAGACATGGGGAAGGGATCTGTCTGACGAGTTTTGTCCGTTTTCTGTTAGAAAACACAACCTCTCCGTTTGTCAAAGGTCCCGGTTTTCGCAGTTGATCTTAAGCTTGGTTCTCAGCAGTTTGGAGAGCCAAAGAACAAACACATTTTCTGGTTCACTGGAATCATTTTCACATGTTCACTGATTCAAACATTCTTTTGCTCACATAACAAACAGCTGCATCCTACATTAGCCTAGCCAGTGACGGTCGCTCATCTCGGCAATAACTGTTTGATTGCAAACTTGACCCCTTCTCTGTCTCGGTCTGAGCGAGACATTTTTAAACAGCCACTCTGTTCCCAATCCTCCTTCGCAAAGAATTACATCAGATAACAAAGGACGTCTCTGCCACTCATTGTAAGCCCTTCTTCTAGAGATCTGTTCTGAGAGCCTCTGTAAAAAGGTTTTTTATGATGAATTCAGAACTACTATCATGTTAAGAGCAGCGATTTATAAAGAAGAATTCATTGGTTAAGATCTGAAAAAATAGTTTCTCAGGCCCTACTGACCCAGTTTTCAACAAAAAAAGAATCGAGTGATGCAAATTAAGTTTTGCGACATTGTTATGCCGTCTGAGAAATTTGCAAAACCGTGTTTTGCAGTTATTTCTTAATAGAAGCCTTAATAAGTACTTCTTTCTTTACTTAAGGGCTTAAAGATTTTTTTTTTTCCTCCTCTTCACCTTGAAGGTTTCTCTTTAACAGGTAATAATAAAATACCCATTGTGTCAAGCTTTTTATTTAAATGCTTATTTTAATCGCACTTTGTACGAGTCTTACTTGTCAGAAATAAGAGGGAACACTCACCAGATTTGGTTAAGAGTCCTAAATCCCAGGGAAACCTGAGTGCCCCAGACCCGCAGCCGGTTTGGGCTGCGTACGGGTACCCCACCGGTTCTCCCACGTAGCCAGAAAATTATGAAAGGGTCTCATTTGAATATGAAGAAAACAAAGAAGTCAACCAGAAATGAGAGAATCCGTATTCACAACTGTAAAAACCCTTCAATGAGGGGAATAAGAGTGAGAAGATAACCACAACTCAAGTATAATTCTCTTTGGAGTCATAAGCACGGTTGGTTCTTTTAAGCAAAATGGGTTTTTTTTTCAACCGAGTATTTGGAGATAGGCGAGCGGCAGAGGTAGGAATAGCACGAGGCTATCACTCGGCCAGAAGGTGAGAAAAACACGGCAAACACGTCACTAACGAAGCCCGGCATTTGGTGTCGGAATGTTCTGCTGGGACCTTTTCATCCCAGCAGGTCCGAGAGAGGCATGGAAATCTGTCAGCGTTAACTCCACGTCACTCGGAAAACTCCGGGGAGCCGCTTGGCTGTCTGCATTCTGCCCCCGAGAGTTCCCCAACCCAAAAGCAGTCAGACGACACTCCCCGGAAGAGGAGACCCCCTTCCTAGGAGGCTGGAAACAGCCCCCCGTGACATGGGGACACCTGGCACTTTGCTGCCTCGTGGAACAGAGATCCATGTTTACACAGTTCCCACCGTCACCAGGGCGATTCGGAAACCCCTCCCTCGTGTCTTAGCGTGTTCCGTGTGGCGCGACCTCGCACCTCCGTGGTGCTCGCGTCCCTGGTGAGACTCTTCCAAAGTGCCTCAACAGTAATAGACTGCAAACCAGTCTGGAGTCCAGCAGCAGACAGTGCGTTTCATGGGTATTTAAGCAGCCGCGTTAAGTGCTGTCGGAATCTCTGGAATGTGCGGATCAGATTTATGTGTCTTAACCATTCTTTACCGGTTGGTAACAAGCCGGCGGGCTCACACTTTATTTGGACACTAATTTTGTCCTAGAAGAGCAGTAAGCCGGAGCATGACGATGACAACAGACCCACACCGGCGTCTACTTAATAACTGCAGCGGAGAATGGCCTCCGAGACCGAAATGTTTATCGAAACCGAGGAAGGGGGGCGGGGGGGAGAAATAGAAGAAAAAACTTTTTAAAAAACGACCCTCGACAGTGAGCCACACATCTTGAACAGTGGGCAACGCAGTGCCTAGAGGTGCCTCAAACTGTCTCTCATTTTCTAGACTTAATGGCTGATTGCAGAAATCAATGTTGCCATTAGTAACAGGGTATTTGTTATGGCATGATTTCCTCTGTTGTTAGGCTGCAGAATGATTACAGTATTAGCGAGGTGCTTTCTTTACAAAGGGCCAGAGATATAACTTTCAATTTACCATCCATTAGAAAGGGGCTTTCGAAACGTGGACGAAGGCAACACCTTACCTGCTGTTAGGTGGTGACTTTAATTTCGCCGTCTTAGGCTAGTGTGTGTGCGTGTGTGCGTGTGTGTGTGTGTGTGTGTGTGTGTGTGTGTTGTTTTTTTTGTTTTTTTTTTTTTCCCCCAAACTGGGCCAGGAAGCTTCAGCATTTCACAGACATTTTGATGACAGATTTCTGCTTTGCTATTTTAGACCCCAAAGCTGTATCGCCTGTGTAACACGCTACAATTTAAGACACGCCGCCGCGCATCTGTGTCTCAACCCCCTGCGCTTTTTCCGACCGTCAGAGGAAAGCGGTGTGGCTCTCCGGTTCGGACGGACCCGGCGGGTGAGCCACGTCGGGGGTTCGGAGGGAGACGGGAGATGGGTTTGGCTTGGGGTGCTCAAATGAGAGCATTAGGGGGATATACCAAGGGGGAACGATGCTGAGGGTCTGGGTTTACACACTCGCATCCAGGGATGGAGCCGAACGCCAGCTCCCGGGGTCCAGAGACGAGGGGTTGGTGGACGGAGTCAGGGCGAGAGCCGGGGCCGGGCAATTGCAGAAGAGCAGGCTCAGCCCCACTGGAAAACGGGCCACCTGGCTGTCTCCGCCACATGGGCGGAGGATCGCCTGACTTTCTTAGCAGCCGGTGTTCAAGGGAAGGCCACAGAGCTGAAATGAGGGCCCAGTGCCCGGCCCGCCCATCATACCCGTCAAGCCACACCGACCTCAGAGCTGACCGGGGGCCGGCAGGCAGGTCGGACCGGGCAGCCCCCGCCAGACCCCCGTGCAAGCTGTCCCCCCACCACCTTCCCGGCCCGCCTACCTGAGGAGGACGGCGAGGAGGGGTGCGGGCTGTCCTCCTGGGCGCTGCCAGTCTGCGAGAGGCCTCCTCCGACCCCGCTTTCCTCGGTGACGTTGGAGGAGCCTGGCGTGGTGGACCGGCTCACCGACTGCGACTCCTGGTCACTGCCCGAGCCGCGCCGCTCCTCCAGGCCCGCGTGCAACCCCTCCTCATCGCCCTTGCGGTCGCGCTTGTGCACACGGGAGTGCACGACCACCTGGTGGTAGGTGCGGAACACCCGGCCGCAGTCGGGGCACTCGGTGGGCTTCTCCTTCATGTTCCCGGGACCCTGCAGGGTGCACTCGAGTGTCTGGTTCAGCCCGTGTGACAAAAAGTCCCGACCGCCTTCCAAAGGGTCGAGCTTATTTGGCGGGTCTCTCTGGTTGCCCGCCTTGGCGCCGTGAACCAGATCTGCAGGCATCTTCTGCTTGGAGCCATCTGCGCCCACCAACACGTACTCCCGCTTTTCCTTGTCGAACATGACCCCGGCGCTGGCCAAAGCGTCTTCGTGGCTGCGCTGGAGCTGGTGCTCTTTCGACAGGAAGCCGTGGTCCATGGCCATGCCCCTGGCCATGAGCTGCCAGGCCTGGTAGCTGCTCACCGGGTCCATCTCGGCAGCTTTGGCGGCCGCCTGCAACCGCTCGATGCAGCTGGACTTCAGCGGCGGCACCAGGTTGAGGCAGCCCAGCAGTGAGTGCTTGTCCCCCTCGGGGACACCGTGGGCCATGCCGGAGATGGGTGACAGCAGCTTCCCCAGCGCCTCTTTCTCCTTCAGGGGAAGCTCGCCCTTGCCGTAGAGCTGGCCAGGCTCGCTCAGGCTCGCTTTGTCGGGCGCCACGAAGCCGCTCTGCAGGCAGGAGAGGTACCTGGAGTACAGGTTGGCGTGGGCCTCCTGGGCCATGCCGCCCATGGGCACGGGCACCTCGGGGTCGCCGGGGGACTTGTTCTTCACCGACAGCTTGTTGAGGTGCACCTTCATGTGGTTCTTGAGGAACCAGGGCTCCTTGAAGCGCCGGCCGCAGATCTGGCAGCAGTGCTCGAAGGAGTCTTTGTGCTTGCGCATGTGGCCCTTCAGGAACCAGGCCTGGCTGAACACCTGGCCGCACACCTCGCAGCGGAACTCGTTGGCCGCCTGCTCCCCGCCGCCGCTGGGGCCCTGGCCCTGCGCCGACTCCGCGGTGATGTGCGCCTTCTCCACGTGGCTGATGAGCTCCTCCTCCTGCGAGGCGGCGAAGTCGCATAGCGTGCACTTGTAGGGCTTGTGCAGGATGCGGATGTGCCGGTCCAGCTCCTCCCGCTTCTTGAACTTGCCCTTGCAGAAGGTGCAGCGGAAGCCCGC